ATGATGGACTTTCTACAATAAGCTGTTATTTAAGTTTCAAGCTGTAAGGAATTAGCCAATCACAATTGAATGTGAGAAGAATAATCGATTTTGATTGGTGTCAATTGAATTTCTTATTATAACTTTAGACTAACGGGCCTTCTACAAGGCTATGTTCAGATTCCCACCCGAGTGCCACCCAGGTATCTATCCTTCTATCCTTATTGTTTACCAAATGTTAAACAAGGATGACATGACACCCGGGGAGCACTCGAGTGGGAATCTGAACGTGCCCCAATAAACCATAGGTCATAAATTATAAGTCATAAGCTAGAAATGAACCAATCACAGTCGTCAGTTTTTAGTTTCTTATTTCTGATTTATGACTTATGGCTTATATTGATAGAAGGCTTATTAGGTAATGATTTATCGTAGAAAGCCTATATACGATAGTTTCGTAAACATAACACAAAATTAAAAGCGCGGCACGCTAGCACATATTTATTTGCGTATTTCTCTTGTTTGAAAAAGAAAAAGAAGAGAGGGGATAGCGCGCGTGACGCAGCACGAGAATTTGCGAATCTGTACGCGCGCCAAGCGATTAATTTTTCGTCACGATTCATCGCGTCGAGTATGCATGTGTATGTTCTATTGTTTTACTTAGTCTTATTTGTTGAATATCGATTTATACGCGTTTACTTACCCGTCGCGCGTTGTTCCGATACGCACGTCGTTTTAGTACGGAGCGATTGGAGAGAACGACGATGTACTATTTAGGGCGGTATGATTATTATTACTAGTAGTCACATGTCACACGCAATGACTATGAATTATTATGTATTATTATTATTATTATATTATTACATTTATTATTATTATTGCTATTATTATGAAAATATATCACGTTAGTTTTTGGACAAACGAATAAAAACACTAGGGGTGGGGGAAATAAAAAATTGTAACATATTTGTTGATGGCCAATATCAAATATGTATAAAAGTAATAATAATATAACATTAATAATAAACAGATATTATTAAATCCTCTCGTTTTGTTAATGAAATCACAAAACTTCGTTTTTTTTTTTTAATCTATATTATTAATTGCGATTTGGATGACGCAGCAGCAAAAATGCAATAATCATTCTGTACTTGTTTCTCCAGCGTTTAACAAACAGCGATTTTACCGACAGTAATACTTATGAAGTTTGGGCTGTAAGGTGAGTACAGATAGAGTACCAAGCGTGATTCATGAGAAAGAGAGAGAGAGAGAGAGATATGGAATCTTATTTTTGGAAGCTCATTTATCATTCTATCTTAAATGAGGAAAAATCATTTTAACAAAGAGATTTTTAAAATAAGATTCTTTTTTTAGAAGAGGATTCGTATTATAATTATATGAAATAAATATCACATTAAAAACGCACGATATAGAAAATATAGTGTGTAAAATTAATTCTAATTTTAAAAAAGATTCATTACAACAGACATTATATTATAACTTGTAAACATATTTTTTGGAAATAGTTAAAATCTGTTCCAAAAAATAACGTGGAGAAGTACCTTAACGAAAGATTCGCTGAATCATAAGTATAGAATCAATAAGTATAGAATTATTGTTAGGGGAAATATTAAAGGTTAATAAAAAGAGAAAAAGTCGACAGAGCTTGAAACCTCGAGAAGCTCGATCGGACCCGGAGAGACGTCGAAAAAGGTGAGCGAGAAAGCGAGTTCGCTATACATTCGATATCTGTATCGTGCCGCATGAATTGTCACAAAGAAACTTGTGGCAGAAATCTCTCGCTCTTTTGTGGAGATTCGTTCGCTTCTTGAGAGGGGGTTGACGGGGACGAGACAAGGAGAAGCAGATAGTTAGAGTGGTGAGGTAGGGGCCGAAGGGGACGATGTCGCGGTCGCGTCGCGGCTCGGCTTCGATGCCAAAGAGCGAAGCACTGTTATGACTCGAGTCCGGTTCGGTCGTCGTCGCCGTCGCCGTCGTCGTCGTCGAAAGTCGAGGTGAATCTACCTTGCCGCCACGCCGCCCCGCGCCGCGCCTGTTCGACGTTAAAACCGCGCTCTCGCGAAACACGTGCGAGAATCCCGATTCGGTTCCGCGTGCGGCTTTTATCTCAATTCTTTTCCGCGTCCGGTGATCGACGCGAGACGTACTATCGCTCGATCCGCTCCACTTCGCGCCGCGCCGTTTCGTTATCCACGTTAACGCGCTTACCGCGCTCGTACTCCAGTCCCTCGCGCGTGTTTGTTTTCGTCAAGATTATGAAATGGTACGTATACACTTACGAGATGCACCTGACGATTAATTAACTTGACGATTAATCGCGCCGTCGAATGTCGCGCCAAGTGATGTTCCTCGATTGCTCTGTCGATTGAATCTATAACTTCACTGTGTAATTCTGCTTTTTGCGAATGACACGCTAAACTGAAGTGTATGATCGTGCGTTTGGTGCAATGAAGAAGTTATACGATGTCTGTGTGGCAAAAGCGTATACCAATTTCTGTTCAATACACATTTCCAACAAATAAATTACAGATCTTTGCCAGAGCGTTAAACTTATAACCGTTTTGGAATACTTCCCGAATATATGTATAATCATAACTAAGAGAGATATCTGGATTTAAACACTTCTCTTATAAATAGAGAGAATATAACGCAAATTTCTCACTTTCAGCGCAGATCGAAAATCGTCCATGGCCTGAAACTCAGAGAAGTTGTTTGTGGAAAACGGAAAAGACACGCGACTTTTCTCTCAATTGCTCTTCGCTTGATCATTTTCTCCTGAGAGAATGAGAAACATATAAATAATTTGGTCAAAGCTCGCGCTTTTTTCATATTTTTTATTTTCGTAGTTTCACCTTGAAACAAAATTTAACAAGAGCGTCCACGCTATAATTCTTCAATCTAGGACTTATTTATTTGAAAATTAAAATTTGATATGAATTTAGATAATTAAGAGATAATAAATTAGGTGACGGCAATAATTTTGAATGCGTTATTACATAACGATATAATTACGGTCTATTTTAGTATCAGGGTCTCTATCTACGATTTGTATCCGCACGAGATATTGTCTTATTATTAAAGTCTCTTTAAATAATCTCGTTACCCCGTATATATTCTTTAAATCGTGTTGCCATCATTCGATAACAATTAAATCGCATCAATGCATATACATATAATTCACGTGTAGATTATCGCGATATTCTTATGTAAAAGTAATTCAAGTAAATAGAGACAATTGGAACGGTTGCTTATTTAAATAGAACGAAAATCAAAGTATTCCGCGTTCCAGGCTATTCTTATTTACGCGCAGATGTTTGCGACGTGTCGGCTCATAATTGGTCCGTGCGGAATAAGAAGACGGAGTGCGAGAGAAAAATGGAAACAAGTTGGAAAAGTTGTCTGGCGCGGAGGAAGATGCTCTCGGTGGACGACTGTATTATATGCCGAGTGTGGGGCCGTTTAAAAATAGACGTTTAAACTTAAATTATGCCCTCTGGTATAAAGGGAGCCGCAAAAGCGAGCGGTCAAAATTTTATAAGTGCTTTACGCCTTGATATAACCGAAGGATGTCGTGAAATGTTTTTTTTTTTTTTTTTTTTTTTTTTTAGATCCGTATAATTGTGACAAGAGATCACAAGATTAATTATCTGCGAATTAAAAGTGCAACTGTCTATAAAAGAAACGGCGAGAGTATATTCCCTAATTATTCTGCTGTAATTAATACAGCTAGGGCTTGCCTTTTGTTAAATTACACGATAACGGGCAATCGTATCTTTAATTAGAATTTAATTACGTGAAATAATATTTAATTGGAATTAATAAACACCGTACAATACATATATATATATGTATACGCGTAGGCGGAGTATTATATACCGTATGCTTGCGTTCTACCGTCCTGTCACAAAAAATTTTGCCGTTTTCTTAAAATAATTTAACAGTTGACGCGCGGAAGAATGTGCCGTGTGCGACTCGCGACTTGCGGCCAATTCTTATTACGAATTACGTAGTAAAAGCGCTCCTGAAGCTTATTTGCAGCCTACGACTCGATTGTAACAAATAACCGAGCGTTCGTAAAAGGATAACGTAATTATTCTCGATGCGATTGATGATTCATGAGGAGATGTCGGCGTTACGAACTCGATAGAACTCGCAAGTCTTGATTCATATAATGTATACCCACGCAAGTTGCAATTATTGCAAACAGGAATGGGCAATGAGTCTTTCTCTCTCTCTCTGACGATCTTCTTTTCCACAATTAACGTCGCAATGCAGCGCCGTGAAGGGAAGGACGTGTCATTGCGTCGATATGTTACTCGATCATGCAGAACTTTGACGCGATACAAGGGAGAGCGTGTAAAATCTACGAGAGATAATAAAGGGCCGAATAATAAAGGGGCGGCGTTAGACGTCGCTTGGCGTCGCCAGGCGTCGCTGGCGAGTGGGCGCGGGCGTGAAAGTGAGAAAAGACGGGACGGTGGGGCGAGGGCGAGGGGGGGGGGGGGG